GAGTTTACAAATGCTGGGAGAAACCAAACTTCTGTATTGTCAAATCGATTCGAAACTGGCAGCAGAATCGAATGTCTTATGACAATCGATTAAGGAACCGCCTGAGCCAATCAAACCACGTCATGTGGAATTTCTGCCAATCCAAACGTTGACCCTTCCGCATGGGCAAAACCAATAAATACTAATCTGTGTATAGTATAGTGTGTACAAGATTAAATAGGATCAAATACATTCGAAAGCTACTTGTCGATGTGTGAAATGCACAATACTAGTACAGTATACTGTAGGCCTGTTCCAAGGAGTACATACTTCCGTAGTAGATATTTTTAGCAAATGGCAAAGTGGTTCCAAGTGCTATTACTTCGGTAATAGTTTCCTACTTTTTGACTTCTTTTTCTTCGATTTTTTACGCAACTCACCAAAAGTCGAAAACGCGGTCCTTGTGTGGTCATGGGGGTATCAATCGAGCCCGGGGCGTCAGTCGTCGCATGTGCTACGTCGTGACTAGGGTCAGCGCGTTGTGCGCATTTCACAATGCATGTTATGTTGCTGAGAGCCTTGTGATGCTCGAATCAGGACAAAGAATCGATCTATTATTATAGATTTGGCGAATCAGCACAAAAGTCCAAATTTTGGGTAAAAGGACAATACAACCTGTAACTCGGAGGGAGATAAATATGGGCCGCGCGCCGCCTGCTGGGACACAGATAAACTTGAATCTACCAATCGGTGACGTGTACTTTCAAACTAGCCAATCAGACAGCAGGTCCCAAATTCTCTTGAAAATGTCCATTTCATTTCCAAATCGACCTTTGAAGTGAGAGATGCTTGCAAACGAGAGGAAGACGAAACCACGCATCGACTTCGGTGGCAGTATCAGACATCCATCAACGCGATCTACGACACAGGACACAGACTTGGTACCAGCAGAATCGCAAAATGCACTGCGACGAAAACAACTCATCCACGTGTCAGATTGTGACGAGGCAAAGAAGAAACTGCAAGCCATCTGGGACGACCCACCCGCCAACGCGCCAAACATCGATGACGATGGCGATGCTTCTTGGGGACCTGTCGTTCTGTGTGCTGCCATCACGTGGGACGATTTCCAAGGATGGCTCAACCGCAACGAAGGGCGAGTGAGACGATGGGTCTTTGAGCCCCTTGCAGATGGAACGGGGAAAGGACGAGTGGTCTTGTACAGCATCTCGTCCGTCGTTCACTCGAAAACTGCAGGCCAAATCAGTTACTCTATCATCGAGCAAATCCAAGCGGCAGGGAACGACATCTGGCTTGGAAGGACAGTTGTACAAGCTACTGATCCAACATGCCGCACTGGAAATCATGGTCAAGAACCAGACATGTGTATTTATCCTGCGGGTCTGGCAGTTGGAGGAGCG